ATCACTCGGCCTATTAGGCAAACCGGGCCTTACATAGTAGGCTGAGAAGTGCGTTCTGGCTGCTAGGTACGACATATATATATATATATATATATATATATATATATATATATATATATATATATATATATATATATATATATATATATATATATTATATATATATATATATGTCGTACCTAGTAGCCAGAACGCACTTCTCAGCCTACTATTCAAGGCCCGATTTGCCTAATAAGCCAAGTTTTCATGAATTAATGTTTTTTCGTCTACCTAACCTACCTAACCTAACCTAGCTTTTTTTGGCTACCTAACCTAACCTTACCTATAAATATAGGTTAGGTTAGGTTAGGTAGGGTTGGTTAGGTTCGGTCATATATCTACGTTAATTTTAACTCCAATAAAAAAAAATTGACCTCATACATAGAGAAAAGGGTAGCTTTATCATTTCATAAGAAAAAAATTATAGTAAATATATTAATTCAGGAAAACTTGGCTTATTAGGCAAATCGGGCCTTGAATAGTAGGCTGAGAAGTGAGTTCTGGCTACTAGGTACGACATATATATATATATATATATATGTGTGTGTGTGTATTTAATTGTATAGGCAAAGTATATAAAGAGTTTTAGGGATTTATTTTATAAATTTAATTCCCACATGGGCAATAACACCCAATATGGTCAAGTTACTTTCATTTTACTGCAAATCTAAGTGTCATTTTCCTCCGCAGGCGGTGTGTGTCGGGCAGGCAGCTCTTCACCATGTTGCCTTCCACATGTGTCTCAATGTTCATAATGTTTTGGCTACTGACAGAGGGTTGGTGCAGCCAACCTACTCACAGTTCTGCTGGCAACTCACTGATGAGTCTACACGCAGGCATGACAACCCACTCTGTACCAACACCACTGCCGCCGCGCGTCTCTCAGCTCCCGGTCTCTCAGGAAGTTGCAGCAGGTGCTCATGGCGCATTGAATCACTTCAAAGTGGCTGGGAGAAGTGATGTTGGTGACGATCATACAGTAATATTCGTGAAAGACTCGGAGATCAAGACACCCGTTACACAAGAGGAGCCAAGTCGCTACGATCATGATGCTGATGAAACACTCGCGAACAACACCCAACTGAACATGCCAATAATGGGTGGAAGTGAAGACAGTGTTGTGCGGGCAGTTGCGACAAGCCAGGACACGGTGGATGATATTATGATAACAAGTGTACTGAATGTCTCTTCAGACCTCCATCAGAAGCACATTCGCATCAACAGAACTTTAAGAAATATACACCCGTTAAAGAATATGACTCTGGCAGGTCACGCACAAGACGATGAAGAACTAGTGAACAGTGATCACATGATCGGAAACACCAACACTAACATCTTAAGGCGTAATTCTGCTCATGTTAGATCCCAGAAACCAATACGATTTGTACCTGCTAAAAGTACTAATAATGTAACAGTAAAGAGATACAGGCGCGTCCCACTCCATGATGATGTTCCAGTGAACATGGAAAGCTTTCTCTTGCAGTCTGATGGTCAAAAAACAATGTTGAAATCGAACTCACAAAAACATGAAAGTTCAACCATTGCTGAAGACATTTCTGAGGAGATGCTAGTGAGGAAGTGCTTCGGTATCAATGAATTCTTTAACTTTAAAACTCGTAGACGTGAAACGCTGGAGGACAATACAGCATTCACAATACTGGTGCGTAGCCTGCTGGAGAAGAATGTGAATAACAACCTGAGGATCGTCCCTTTAATAATGGGACAATGCCAAGACCCTGGTGATGAAAAAAAACGTGAACCAATAGACTTTACGTCTCACTCCATCTTACCTTTTGGTTACCTAAGAGACCTTAAATCAAAAATTAATTATGATCAAGATCACTACTGTTTGGAAATGGAAGCTCCAGGTGCTGAGAATATTTCCTCTGGCATTCTTAGCAAAATTTTCTGTCCCTTACGACCCATTGAGGTTTCCACAAGGAAGTGTTGCGGCCTCAACGAATACTTCAACCTTACTGATAAACACTGCCATCCGAGGTCGTCCAATGTGATTGACTATAATGATTTAGTGCAAGAATTCACAAGGAATTACCCAGGAGTGACGTCCATCCACTGGAACACCTCGAAGCTCATTTGCAGGCACGGTGAGCCCCGAAGAGTCAGCACCGACCAAGCCTTTCTCGACTCCTCGAACCAACTGTGTGATCGCCAGTCTGGGCAGTGTTACCCGAGCTCACTCTACTGTATTGAATATTCATGGGCAGAAGGTACTCCAGCGATGGTGGCTGAGGCATCGTTATGTCCCGTTGACTCCTTCTACAAATGCTGTCCCCGCGGCCATATACTCACTAAGTCTGGCTGCATTAGTGCCTCGAGGGAAGATGTCTCGCCATATATGTTGCAGTTGCTGGAAGAAATGGAACCTAAATTTGGTATTCCTGCTAGAACCAATGATTGCCATTGCGTTGAAAAGCTGATCAATGTTAGTGACTCTAATATTCACTGGTGGAAGAGCAAGCCTCAGTATCCCCAAGTAGACATAAAAGCAAAAAATTCCTTTGCTATTCGGTATTGTGTTGATGATTATCGCGGCCCAGACAACCACACTGTAACAACTGCTATCGAGTGTTACACCGAGGTGGGGAACGTACGCAAGTGTTGTCCCTACGGCCAGTACATGGAGATTGATACTTGCGTCACAGACAGTCTGGGATTCTCACTACTGCACGACCCTCTGCTGAGTGCAGCTAATCTAACAAAGCTGACTGATAACTCTTTCCCTACTTGTGAAACTGAAAACCTCTACCATGTTTACTACATGGGTAAGAGGTCCTCCGAAGATTATGGGGAGATGATGGATAACCAGGAGCTACAGCTGGTAAATATGGACGCGGGCTGCCGCCTTAATAATAAAACCATCAAACGTGAGAATTATTGTCTTGAATACTTCGGGAATGCTACAGTCCAACATCTGAAGGTGATGATGTGTGTAAGGTCGTCCATGGACATGGGCGTGAACAGCGAAAATTTGTGGGTGAATGCGGTGCTGCTGGTCTTGTCCTGCGTGGCCCTGCTGGCCACCACCTTGTACCTCCTCCCCCAGAAGGTCAACAAGGGCTACTCCGTCAGAAAGGTGCGTCATGTTACCGCCATCAGCTATTATCAGCATCTCTAAAAATCAATGACAAAAATGATTGATTTTCATGATAAACTTTGTCTAGTATATATTATTTATGATACAGAGATCGCTATAGATGTTCAGGTTTAACAGTGCACCTATTAACTATGCTTTTAGTAGAAACACTGATGGTTCATGTAATAATGTTAACTATAGCCTGTCGTTTACAAAAGTTGTTAAAATATCATTCCAGTTAAAAGTCTATAAATTTATATGAAAAACATCCTCCTTAAACTCAAAAACTAAATTCGAAATTCAACTAACCCTTTATCACCCTTCAACAAGCTTAGCACGACCGGACTGTCATCATCAACAGCAGCTAAGCAACCCCATTTCATTTAAAAAAAACTGCATTTACAAAAATTATAAAAAAAATGACATTGAGGATAGAATCCCACAGCACCACGTGGTATTTCTTTCTCCCATTCCTCTTGTTACTGAATGAACGTCTGTCTTCCTCATAAAGACATTCTTACCTTCTCTAATGTGCTGGCTGCTTCCACGTCATTAACCTGGTCACCTTCGTCTAACATTTCTGAAACAATATTTGATTACATAACTGCTCACTCCTGACTGTCAAAGACGCCTGACTGTCTGGGCTATATTATAGTGACGTCATTAGCGAATCAAAGGTTTACAGAGATCTGCCAATTTGTTGAAACTTTGAATCACAAAAAACACTTGTAAAACGTTTTAATAATGACTTTAGATCACAAATAATGTGCAAGTGCTGTGCTAGAATCTATAGTGGTAAGACTCAAAACAAATCGTTAATAAATGTAGGCATGAAAGACTGTAACAATGTTAACAGTTTGGAGGTTAACTTATACCAACACCAGTCTCCTGGTGCACCTTGTGTAAGTAACTGCTTACAGTTGAAGTTACACTAATACCTATATCAGACCCCTTCGCCAATGACTGATGACAGTTAGGTAACCTAACCTAACATAACTTACCCTGGCGCCCCCTGACCTTTCCCCTCCCCCTGCAGGTGAAGACGCTGGCGGGGCGGCTCCAGCTTAGCTACGTGTTGACCTCCCTGGTTGGGTTCCTGCTCCTGGCCGTCAACATGGTCGTACCATTTTATCAGGACAGTCTTGCGTGCTACATCATGTGTGAGTGCCTCTTGACTTTCTCACACATGCACACATCCACGTTATTCGCTGTTATCGTGCATTACACGGCTAGAGTTCTCTGGGATTGCTTCCTACCACGCTGTGTAGGTGGCAATGATTGATATGCTACGTGTCCCAGTGGTGTCTGTATGTGGTGTGCAGCTGCTTGCTGGACGGCGGCCGATTGTAAAGTTCAGCTCCCCGACGATTTATCAAGGTCTCGTCATACGCTATGATAGGTGCTCATTCGATCTTCCTGGAGATGATGGGTCGGTGACCCTCTCAGACTGTTGTGGAGCCACGACGTATGTGGCAGTGCATGGGATGCCTTTTGAGTTCCCTGAGGATCTTCTACGTCGGTACGTTGCCCGGTTTGGGCGGGTCCTACATGTGAGGATGAATGCCGTCCCTACCGGGAGATGGAAGGGAGTCCTATGTGAGACCCGCACTCTCGCCATGCACCTCCGGGATCCTGTACCGTCCATCATCAACTGGTTTTCTTGCAGGACAAGAAAAACTGTTTTTCCTGCAGCCTACCGGGTCACCTGGCTGCGGGGTGTGAGGAACGCCGGGTCGCCACTGTTAACTTCTTCCGGGAGGAGGATTTTCCCGCGCTATCGGCCCCGGACCTGTCTCCACGTGCTGGACCGTGTGTTTATTCCCTGCTGGTTTCTGCCCCGGTGTTGGGTGGTGGTGTGGATGTTGACATGGGGTTTGGGGCGGCCTCGCCCCCGCCGCCGGCTTCCCCACCTTCGACGTCCCTGCCCCTGTCGCCCCAGCCTGCCCCGTCTCGGCCGCCCATGCCTGTTCCGTCCCTCCATGCAGCGTCTCCTGTCCCTTTGAATATCTGCGGCGAGGAGTCTCCTGCTGTGTGTGGTCCGGTGCCCCCGGCCGTAGAGGCTGTGGTTCTCAGGGGCCGGGCCTTGAAGGTGCGTCCATTGGAGAGTTCTGCTGTGTTACGGGATGATGAGGGTGATAGCTCGGATGACCGGCAGCCCCCATCTCCAAGCGCTCGAGGCGGGTCTGGAGTGTGTCTCCCCCTTCGTGGGGTGCCTTGGGTGGAGATGCAAGAGTACGTTGATCCGGCGTCTCCTGTCGTGGTTGGCGGTGCTGTGGGGGGCTCTATGCTGCCTCCGGAGTCGCCCCCTATGCCTACTGCTGATGACTCCCCACGGTGGGAGGTTGCTCCTGCCGAACGGGACCTCATCGTGGTCTTACAGAAGGATGTGCGCTAAGGTGCCTCTGCTCCTGAGCTCGGTGGTGCGGGCCCCGACTCGTCTGTGTGTTCTGCGGGTTCCCCTAGTGTGCAGCCCTGTGTGAAGCCTCATGCGAAGCCTCATGCGCCGGCCAGTACAAAGCCCTGTGGGGCGCCCGGAGCATCTCCCAGTGCCGATTCCAGTGCGAAACCACCTAGTGTGGACCTCTTCCCTGTGCTCGCGGCCGACGGGGGCGTGGTCCCTCAATCATGGGTTTTGGACCTCATTTGGGACGTCAGGGTGCGTGAGGGCCCGTGGTGCTCGTCGACTATTTGGGTACCGAGGTTAAAGGGGGCTTATTTAGGGGGGTACCTGATTGGATGCCTCGGCCTTGTGCGTCTCCTGGTAGACCGGTGTCCGAAGACGTCGAGCTGGTCTGGGAGGCGTACTGCTTGCGCTTCCCAGCACAGGAGTCTCCGGACATGTATCGCTAGTGCCTGTGTTTGATTGTATACTCAATGTCTGTGATTTTGTTACCGTGTCTGCGGTTCTATGTCTGTTTTGTCCACGTGTTCGGTTTCGCCCTGTTGGGCGGTGTATGTGTTCCGTGTGCAATTTTGTTTTGGTTGTGCTGTGCTGTGCTGTTTGTGTATTGTGTTCTGTTGCTTGTGTTGTTTCTAGGGCTGTTAGTGTGTGTGTGTGTGTGTGTGTGTTTGCTGGTTCCTACGTGTTCCGGTTATGACTTCCTGTCTGTCTTGGCTTTTAGTTCTGCTTGTGTAGCCCTTCAGGCTTGCTTGTGTTACTAGATTTGTATTTATTTTGTGCTATATCATTTCTGTGTCTTTTTCATGTTTCCTGTTGTACGCTTTTTTGTTTTTCTGTTTTATGTCTCCTTTCTCTGTAGTTCTCATGTTTGTTTGTGCTTTATGGATCACTGTTTGTGCTGTTTTGCCTAGCTGTTTTATGTGTATTTAATTTACTTTATCAAAAAAAGAAAAGAACTAAGCTTTGATATCAATCGTTTCAAAGTCACTGGAAGTGATACTTGTAGATTCTTTAAAGCACCGATTAAAGTTAAGGTTGATAGGAGACTCCCAACACGAGTTCACAACGAGTTTACAAATGATCGTTCCTGCCTCACCAATTTATTATCTTATTCAAGCGTAAAGGATGCCGTTGACATTAATAGTAAATATAAGGTACATAAGGACCTCAGAAATTCCTTCAACACAGTTCCACTCTAAGGCTACTGAGGAAGGCCGAAGCACAAGGTATCGGAGGAAGTATTCATGCTAGATCAGGTCATGGTTCAAAGACAGAAAACAGCGTGTCAGGTTAATGAAAGAAAGCAGACTGGAGGGTTGTCACCAGTGGTGTGACGCAGAGCTCTGTACTGGGCCCACTGTCACTAGTGGTGTGACGCAGAGCTCTGTACTGGACCCACTGTCACTAGTAGTGTGACGTAGAGCTCTGTACTGGACCCACTGTCACTAGTGGTGTGATGCAGAGCTCTGTACTGGACCCACTGTCACTAGTAGTGTGATCCAGAGCTCTGTACTGGACCCACTGTCACTAGTAGTGTGACGCAGAGCTCTGTACTGGGCCCACTGTCACTAGTAGTGTGACGTAGAGCTCTGTACTGGGTCCACTGTCACTAGTAGTGTGACACAGAGCATTGTACTTGGCCCACTGTCACTAGTAGTGTGATGCAGAGAGCTCTGTACTTGGCCCACTGCTTTCCATAATTTACACTAGCGACCTGGATAATGGAGTGACTAGTAGTATCAGCAGGTTTGTAGACGACCAAAAGATAGGTCGTGTAGAGAAGACAAGAAAGTAGAGAAAAAAGAAAAAAGACTAATAAACCAACACGAACGCCAATACTGGGCGGAGAAAAGGCAAGTGCAGTTAAAATTTGTATTTTTGTATTTTACTTATATACAAGAGTTCCTACATTTTTGTACAGCCACTAGCACGCATAGCGTTTCGGACAGGACCTTAATCTTAATTTTCTTCGGAATACGACCCCGCCACATTGTTTAACGAGCAACCCGTTCTCACACAAGACAGCACATATATGACTTAATGCTTAAAGTCAATATATTGAATATGATTTAGTACATATGTGATATATTTCCAGTTACCTTTTTTACCAAGGCCCAAACTCTTCCTCACGTACCAATTTACGTGTCACAGTACCCGTCCATCAACGTAGATAGTAGAATAGTTGTGATTGGTTCAATTATAATGAAAATTGTAGTTTTCAGGTCCCACATGGGTTGTGAAATTTACCTACTATTGTCCATGCTCTTAGAATATTACAGATCAGCTACTTCCTATTGAAGGCTCGTAGTTTTGTTTTGAGAAATATTAGTTGTTCTTAGTAAATTATAATAAGCACTATAAATTATTACATAGAATAACAGTGCTTCACCAATCAATATTATATACCATAGTTTGCGCTTTAAAAATCTTTAAAGAATGTTTTGTAAGAACGCTAACAGAAAACGATGTTATGTTGGAATGTTTATGGGGTAAACTACTGCAAACTTGGGGATCACTTCCACCCACAGGAAGGGAATGGGGTCCAATACCATCCACTGGATGTGTATGACGTCCACTACCACCGACAGGATGGGTATGGGGATCACAACCACCCACAAGATGGGTATGGGGTCCAATACCACCCACGGGATGAGTATGGCGTCCACTATCACCCACAGGATGGGTATGGGGCTCCAACCACCCACAGAATAAGTATGGGGTCCAATAACACCCACTGGATGTGTATAGCGTCCATTGCCGCCCACAGGATGAGTATAGGGTCCAGTGTCGCCCACAGGATAAGTATATAGAGTCCACTGCCGCCCACAGGGTCGGTAAAGGGTCCACTACCGCCCACAGGGTCGGTAGGGGGTCAACTGCCGCCCTCAGGTTCGGTAGGGGGTTCACTACCGCCCACAGGGTCGGTATGGGGTCCACTGCCACCCACAGGGTCGGTATGGGGTCCACTACCGCCCACAGGGTCGGTAGGGGTCCACTACCGCCCACAGGGTTGGAGGGGGGTCCACTGCCGCCCACAGGGTCGGTAGGGGTCCACTGCCGCCCACAGGGTCGGCAGGGGGTCCACTACCGCCCACAGGGTCGCTATGAAGTCAACTACCGCCATAGTGTTTGTATCGTGCCCACTACCGCCCATAGTGTTATGGGGTCCACTACCCCTCATAGTGTCGGTATGGGGTCCATAACTACCCATAGGGTGTGTCTGGGGTCTATTTTTTTCTGTATAGCAGAGGTGGCAATACTGTTTTTCCAATCTCATTTGTTGTTCAATGTAAAATATTTGTTGCTCGACTTTGTTGTATTGTATTGTTGAAATACATTGTTCACATGAAATACATGTGAAATATTGTTGACAACATCTTGATGACTTATTAAACCAAAATTATTTATTAGTCTGAAGAAAGACAAAAACGCGAACTATATGTTAAACCTCTACCAGACAAATATTTTAAGTAAAACCGAAGATATTTGTAGTTTTATAAAAGGGGCAGTTTTCATTGCTCGTCGAGCTCGAAAACCGCAGCATTCATCTCAGAACCATGCCTATTTCACACAGATTCCTTAATAAACGTAAGAGTTTTATATGTCACAAGAAAGATATAAATATAAGCTTCATTCTAAATACCTACCATGGGCATATTTAAATTTAAAGCGAAGATACGTGTACTTTTATAATAGGCGAGCTTTGACCCCGGACAGATTGATCGACCGAGCAACTCTCTCTCAGAACAATGTTTATTTCAAGTGAATTCGTTAATAAACATATATGTTTTAAATGTCTCAAGAAAGGCAGACATATAAGCTTCACTTCAAACACTTTACCATAGACATATTTAAAGTTCTAATGAAGATACATGTATTTTAAACATTATGGAGCTCCCACCCCGTACAGACTGAACGACAGAGCAACTCGCTGTCAGATCAATGTTTATTTCACGTAAATTCGTTAATAAACACAAATGTTTTATATGTCTTAAGCAAGATAGAAATAAGAGCTTCATTTTAAATACATTACAATATACATATTTATAGCTCAAGTGAAGATACATATGTTTTTATAGTAGCGCTCAGTAGCTTGTCGGGCATGGAGTGCAGACGCCTACGCACTTGCCGATATATTGTATAATTAACAAAGATACGCTAATAAAGCCTAAAATCTTATATGCCTCCAGAAAGACCGAGATATGAACATTATTATGATTGCACCAAATGAAATATATCATGTTCGAGAACAAAGATATATCAATTTTAAATTAAGTTTCGACTCTTGCTCGGGCGAGAGAGATGGGGCGACTCTCGCCCCATCTATTGGAGATTCTGTCCACTAAAGACCCAAAGCTACTCAAACCCTCCTAGCATTATTTAAGTAATGAAGTAATATGGTATATTTACTATAATGTAGGTGCTGAATGCAGAACATGAGAAAACATATATTTACTCCAAACTAATATAATTTCATTATGAAATAAGTAAATAAGTAGCATCAAAGGAAGTCGACGGTCCAAGCGTCAATAATAATAATAATAATTTTTATTTAGGTAAGGTACATACATAAAGAAATTTTACAAAGTTTGTTGGCTTTATAGATAGAGCTAGTACATACAATGCCTAAAGCCACTATTACGCAAAGCGTTTCGGGCAGGAAAAACGTAATGACTAAAGCTTAAAACTAATGGGTAAAAAGAAAAAAATGTGTTGAGAACAAATAAAAATAGGGGTAAAAGAGGGGGGAACATTGTTGAAAAAGCAGCACAAATACAATCACAAATTATTACAGAAAATTATTCAAAAAGCGTTGATTTGAAAAAAAAACAAAAAACAAATAACATGGGTTGACAACAGAGGGGTAAGGTAGGTTACAGGGAATTTATTAGGTATAGCTTCGTTTTTAACTTAAACTGGTTGAGAGAGGTACAGTCTTTAACATGGTTGGGAAGGTCATTCCACATTCTGGGCCCCTTGATTTGTAGAGCATT